ACCTCAGAGCATTAACCTCAATGCATAATTCCAGGCCTGATGTCCAGTTCTAGACCGAATGGGTTTTATGGTTCAGAACACACACGAGTACTCTGGGATATTTACAGTGGACTTTTAGAAACGGCCGAGGCGACGGTTTAAAATTTTCAAGCAAAGAAATGCGAGGTAAGGTTCAGTGCAGAACAGTTTCATGGGGGTGTTCCAGTTTTCGAGCCATGAAATGGGGATGCCGGATAACCAACTAGAGATGGTTCTTCTTTATCACTGGATGTTTTCTTCCCTTGGTACCGAGAGGAGCCATGAAGCCTCATCTCATTATTATTTTGGAAAACGCTCTGATGTGCTGAGGTTGGAGCTGGTGTCTCTGTCGTGTGTGAGGAGGAAGCATGCAAGGCTTTTATGGGCCCTCGGGCCTGCTCTGCCCTTTGCAGGTGGCTTTTCTTAGAGATTTTGGCTACAGGGTGTCCACGCTCGCTGGAGAGACAGAGACAGAAAGAGAGAAATCACCCCAGGTGGGTGGCCATGCCACAGTCCCTTCTCCTTCATTCTCCTCTCTAGGATTTTGGGCAGGTATGTACAGATGTGTGCCCAAATCACCCCCTGGGGGTGGCTACGCTGCAGTCCCTTCTCCTCCATTCTCCTCGGGATTTGGGGCACACATGCACACGTGCCTGGCGTGATTTTTAAGCTGCTAGGTCTGAAACCTCGGCTGCACAATCAGCCATGTGGGATCCAGCACCAGAACTACCACGCCACGGCTGGCCCCCAGAGAGATTCTCATGAACAGAATCTAGATCAGATGTGAGGGTGCTCGGGCTGCCTGTGTGATGGGCAGCCAGGGGTCCTTGGGGCTGACGGTTGCTGTCCGTGCCTGGGAGTCGGCTTGGCCGAAGTGGTTGATGCCCAGAGCGTTCAGAGGCCTGGCGTGGCGGGTGGGCTGCCCACTCGGGACCTGCATGTGGGCTCAGGTTGCGGTCAGCAGGGATGCACCGCCGGGCAGGGTGGGTCGGTCCCTGGGTGATGTGAGGAGTCTGCACTTGGCCCACTTCTCCTTTGAGGCTGGTTCTGTCCCTGCGAGTCACCAGCCCTGTGTCTGCAGACATGGCTGTCAGGGCGCTCGTGAGACACTGTCGCAGGAAAGCAATGGTGGCATGTGCTGCTTCCAGGCTCTGCCAGGCCGGGCGGCCCTTGCCGTGAGCCTTGCTGAGCCTCGGCCAACCCTGCCCTTCCTGGTAACTTTGTCCTTGTGCGCCGAGGCCGCGTCAGCTTTGAGTCATGAAGATATTCTAGGCTCGGTGCTTCAGCCATCGGTCCGTGAATCACAGCTGAGTCCACCGAGGGACGGCGTAGAACAGCGCACTGTCTACTGGTTTAGGCTGCGGCCTTTACGCACATCACCGAGGACACGTTTTAAGGTTGGAGCTGACTCGCCCCTACTTTCTTTTCTCTTTTTGAATGGCCATCATAAACCTAATGCCTTGGAAAGAGCTCTCGGAAATAAGGATGGTTTTCGGGATCATTCTGCCTCAGTAAACCCTCTCCATTAAGGTATTTATTAGGCCATGACTTGTTTTGGACGACAGATGATCCTGGCAGCTCATTAGCGGGGTAAACAGGCTGTAGGGACAGGTTTTCGGGGAGGTTCTTCAGGGAGGAGGCCCAGAATGGTGGGGTGGGTCTGCAGCGCGCTGGCCCCTTGCACTTAGAATCCTGAGGCCGAGGAGTGCAGCCAGGACCCGCCCTTGCCACCCTTCCCGTCCCGTCCGGTCACTGTGCAATTTGTTCCTGTCTTGTAAGATTTAAGGAAACGGAACTGGGCATCACCCACGTCAGGAACACGACTGCCAGCAGGGCTGTCTCTGGAGTCTGACGTGCGTCGCAGGCGTATTCAGGGACATCCAAGTCACCACTGTGTCACTTCAGAACCCAACAAGGGCGATGGGAGCTCCTGGGCCACACAGACGCTGGATTATAAATCTCAGGGAGCCAAGGCCACCGTCTGACCTCTCGGGTGTCGGCTTTTTTAACCGGGCCAAGTCTACGAAAGGCCCGCCTGAAATAAGGCCCCCGTGCCCCGCAGTTTGGAACCGGCAGTGCCGTCAGTCAGGTGGTTTCCGCTGAGCCGTCTGACCAAGCGAGGCAACGTGAGGGCGTCAGATCAGGTGCCTGCGGTCTCACGTCGGGGACAGCCGAGTGCGTGTCTGGGAGCTGCAGGGGCACGGCAGGCTCCGGGCTGCTCGGGTGGTGTCTACACAGCGTGGCCCCTCGGGCTGCTTTCTACCCAGTAGTCACGTAGACCGGCCAGCGACTTTCCACTGAAATGAAAAATATCTAAGCGAGGGGTCCCGGCCGTGGGGGATATGCTGAATTAACGAGCTCACAGCTGAAGGTGGGCGCACTGCTCCATCTGGTTAGCACTGGCCATGGGAGGGGCAGGGTGGGGTGCCGCGGCCACAGCCTCACCGCAGTGTAATGGCGGCCTCAGCCCTCTTCTAGGCCAGCTACTCCTTGGAGGAGGGGGACGGAAGCTCACGCTGATGCAAAGCCTAGACCCGTAAGAAAAGTGAAGGAGCCGGCCAGGTGGTGCAGTAGTCAGCACAGCTGGATCCCACAGGGCCGATGCGGGGTCCAGGGGGTGCAGTGGTCAGCGCAGCTGGATCGACAGGGCCGATGTGGGGTTCAGGTGGTGCAGTGGTCAGCATAGCTGGATCGACAGGGCCGATGTGGGGTTCAGGTGGTGCAGTGGTCAGCATAGCTGGATCGACAGGGCCGATGTGGGGCTCATGTCCTAGACCTAATGGCTTGTAAAGCACCGGGGTCCTGTGCGTGCCCCAAATCCCAAGAGAATGGAGAAGGGACCGTGGTGTGTCCAGCCCCCTGGGGGATGATTTCTCTCTTCAGCGTGTGCACATGTCCTCTGGCAAAAAACAAACACAAAACCCCTCCTTTCTAGACCCAAATGAGCCAGAACTTACAAGCCTAGTAGTCAGCAGCCTGTCTGGGACGGGGCCCACCAAGAGTTGCCCGTCGAACTTTCTTTCATCAGCTAGACTCTCCCTGAACACTCATGCCAGGGAGCAGGCCGAGGGCTGGCGCGGGCATCACCTTCCACCAGGACCGCCCAGCCAACCAGCCGCCGCCCCGGGCCGCACAGCTGGTCCAGGCTGGCCCACGCCCCACCCTGTCAGGGCCTTTCGCCCAGGGACAGGTGGCAATGACCTCCACTGCGGCCGCAGCTCCGACAGTCAGGTACCTCCCCACGAGTAGTGAACACAGACGTCGACAGTCCCCAGGACGGAGCTCACTGACCAGCGGGCTACACTGTGAACTTCAGGGGTGTTCGGGAAACTTCTCTTTTGAGGAGTGAGGTCCAATCAGAGCTCTGATGTGTGTGTGTGTGTGTGGTGACAGTGATGACAACACACAAAGGCTGGTTTCCAGAATCTCAGATTCCAGAAACTGGCATTCGAGACAACAGGCTGCTGTCAGGGCGGACGAGGACGAGCCTCGTGGAGACCGCGTCTCAGCGACGGCACTTTCCTCGGGGAGTGATCGGGCGGGAGGGTGTCACCTGCCCTAGGAGTTTCGGTGACTCTCCTTACCCCTTTTAAATAAGGCCCTGATTTGAGAAGGTCTAGAAAGATCCTCCAGTGTGTTTTGTAGAGTTTACTAATGACCTAGAAGCCGAAGCCACTGGTCAGAGTGGGATTTATGAACCCGAACCTTACTTCGTACAGAATGGAAGACCATGCCAGATTCCGATTCCAAACCGCCTCGACCCATTTGTAATTCAGACTTGCGGAGGGAGGAGACCTGAGGTGTGGGGAAAAGAACTCTATTCCTTTTAGACCCAGTAGGTTTCAGTCCTGCGACAGAAGGTGGGACACCTGGCTTCTGGGCAAGGTAACGGATTCTTTTAGAATTCTAAGTAAAAAAACCTTTTTTTCTAAATGTCACCTTCTTGTGCTTGTCCAAAATAAACCACACAACCCCTCCTTGGCTGAGTAGGAGGGGTGCTGAGCCACGTCTGCACGCCAGGACCCTCGGGTTGCTAAGTCGGTGACAGGGGACTGCCCACCTTTCTGTGGGCCCCAGCTGCCCGGGGTGCGGTGTTCCTGACAGGGTCTTCACTGTTCTTATGAGACGAGAGGATCTGAAGTTTAACACCAGGGCCTCGGAGACGGTATTCTCTTGTTTAGGTCCCGGTGTGACAAACAACTTTGAAAGAGCAAATACTTTTAAAGCATTAGCAAAACTGGTCTTTAAGTGTTGCCAGAGGTGACAGAGGCATGTAACGCATGAAAGGGTGCACCCCCAGTGTGACAGGGAGAACGGGACGGGGTGGCCGGCCTCGGTGGGAGCGCTGTCAACTGCACTGTGATTATTGTGACAGGTCAAGAATTTACTAGTTACCGTCTTCTTCTTTCCAGGCGAAACAAATCAATTTAATGTTACTTTTTTTTTTCTTCTTTTCTGCCTGAGGGTGGGTGGGGGAAGAAGTTGTCAACTGCACAATCTTTGAAGTGTAAGTTAATTTTTTATGTGATATTTCGGTATATATTTTATTCATTAAATTTATTTGAAAATGCCTGTTGTCTTTATTTTTTTTAATAATTCATTTATTCTCAGGCTTAAGCCTTCCTGGATCCCTAGGGAGTGGGATGGGCGATAGCACTTGCTCCGAATGGAGGTGGTGACTGCTAATCCCTGGCCCAACGCTAACCGCCTCCTCCACCCTCGGGGACCGCCCTGCGTAATCACGTCCACACCACACCGATTACATTGCTGCGTTTTCCTCCTTCTGGCCTGTTTGGGAGCCTAAATCTAACCCCCGTGGAGTCTGCCTGGACCAGCCGGCCCTCAGGAGTGCCCCACATGGTGGTGGCGGGAACTGCAGAACGCAGAGTTAGAAGGGGAACAGAACCTGGGCCGAGTTTTCTCGCCAACTGGGAATGACTGAGCAGGGCAGAAGTGCCGTCTTTAACCACCTCCGCCGGCTGGATGTCAGCAGGGCAGATGCAGACGGCGGTGGCTGCTGGTCTTTGTAGATGCGGCACCCCAAGGCGCAGGGCCTTGGGAGGCGGGACAGCAGGGGTGTGGAACGGCCTCCCGGAGGCTGTGGGGGCCCAGGCCTGCTCTCCACCTGTTCTGGCCCAGCACTGCGCCGCCCCGCAGGCAGGTCCCCGGACCCTCTCAGGAGGACAGCTTCCGCTCCAGGATGTCCTTTATCACCGCTGGGTCCGCTCGGTTCCCAGATGCTTTCCGGACCAGCCCGATCAGTTTGTTCACAGCTCTGGGGTTTCCTTTCGCGTCCGTGACCTCGGAAGGCAGAAACTGGTTAAGGAGAGAATTGAGACTCCTACCTGGGAACCTTAACTGAGGCTTAGGTTCACTGAAAATTAGTCAGTCTTTTCACTAGGGAGTAGATTAATGTGGGGAAGGGAAAAAGAGGGGCACCGATGTCAGAGGGACCCAGGCTCCTGTGACAGGAGACCTTGCCGGGCTGGGGCGGGGCAGCAGGTAGCTTAGTGGTCAGGGCACTGGGTTTCCCACATGGTCGGCCAGTTTGAGTCCTGGACCCCGTGGCGTGAAACTCGCACTGGGCACAAATGCCTGCATGCCCCAAACCCTAGAGGAGGCAGAAAGAACAGCGGCACAGCACCCCCCC